TACAAGAAGGGAGAAATTATGAATGGTTTCTGAATTTCTTTAAACATTTCTTTGGTATTTTTCCAACTCTCTGTCATGATTATGCATTCTTTTTGTAATTAGAAAGATGTTTCTTAAAAAAAAATCTAGTGCAGGGTCTCAGGGAAAATTACAATAAGCTATATCTTAAGATTACTTCTGAAATATTAGAAAGGGACAGGCTTCACTGGGTACAGGTTTTGAAAAACAAAGCTGCAAAATAAGTGGAGGGTTACCAAAATTGATAAAAATAAAAATTACTTTATCTATTGGAAGAGAAAGTTAATGCAAGATTAATATCATAGCTCAGAGGTCAGTAGCATAAGGTGGTGCAACTTTGCTTGTCACTGCTTATCAGGAAAGACCTTTAGAGTGAAAAAGGCAGCAATCTAAGAAGGAATGGAAGCTAATGTTTGGGAAAAGATTCTTTAAAGCATCATCTAATTAGAAAGGATAAAGGGGATGACTTTTTTTGCTTTATCTTTCCACTTTGATTTTTTAAGTTTCTGAAATTTAGAAATACTATATTTTAATTAATTTATTATTTATTTATTTGGCTGCGCTGGGTCTTGGCTGCAGCACATGGGATCTTTTCAGCTGGGACATTCGAAGTCTTAGTTGTAAGATGTGGGATCGCGTTCCCTGACCAGGGATTGAATCTGGGCCCTCTGCAATTGGGAGCATGGAGACAGCCACAGGGCCACCAGGGAAGTTTCTAGAAATACTATCTTATAATGGAAACTATTAAAGCCCCCTCATAGTGTTTAACAATGAGATAGGTTATTATGAATCAAATAACTAAATGTATCAAGTTGGTCGACTCTTTCAGGCCTATACAACAAACATGTGAAACAGAGCCTTCAAGCCAGTGAACCATTTACAGTACTAGGTCCTACAGACTGAGAATGAGATGCTGAGGCTCACTCTTACCTCCATAACTTGAAGCTGAAGAGTGTGATCTGATGATGGGAAAGAAAAAGTCATTTCTCCATAAAATGAAAGACTGTTAGTCTGAACATTTCTCAGACTTTACGGTACATACCTATCACATGGGGATATTGCTAAAGTTCAGATTCTTATTCAGTATGTCTCTTGAGGGGCGCTACGCTCTTCATTTCTTTTCCTTTAAAAAAAAATAATTGTAATATATAGTGAAGCTACATGTAACTTTGTTCTGTAATTTCCAAGTCTCCTGTAATTGTGTTACCTTACTTTCAAAATTTAAAAAAGAAAAAAGAAAAAGTTTAAATTTATTTATCTTTGGCTGTGCTGGGTCTTTGTTGCTGTGTGCAGGTTTTCTCTAGTTGCAGGGAGCCAGAGTTGTTATTCTTTTTGGTGCCCGGGCTTCTCATCGTGGTGACTTCTCTTGTTGCATAGCACAGGCTCGAGCTCTGCAGGCTTCAGTAGGCGCAGCCCGTGAGCTCAGTAGTTGTGGCTCACAGGCTTAGTGGAATCTTTCTGGACTAGGGATTGAACCCGTGTCCCCTGCATTGACAGGTGGATTCCTATTCACTGCGCCACCAGGGAAGTCCCTAAGTTCTTCATTTCTAAGAAGCTTCAAGCTCCAACGTGATATGGATACTGTTGGTCTGTGGACTACACTCTGAGTCACAGGAGATAGAGAACATTCTAGTTAAGAGAAACCCAAAACTTTCATTTCACAGGAGAAGACTTGGGGCACAGAGGTCACATATGAATTTCATCTTGTCCACAGGCACAATGTGAACCTGTCAGCCTGAAGGGGCTTTTTTCCTCGAATTCATCTTTCCATATCTTTGTCGTTTCACTTTCCAGTCTGCTCCGAAGGAAACAGTCATATATGTAATACTCATCATATTTTATCGTAGTTAAGCCAGTACACTGAATGTGGAATGGACGTGGGGCATCCATTGTCTCTGAGGTTGAATGAGCAGAGGAGAATTCTGCTGTACACTTTGACTACATTTTCAATCAGCACATAGCACCCTTTTTGAGGAAGAGAAGGAGGCTGAACATTCTGCATTCCAGAAAAGTAGAAGGACCAGGAAGGCCCAGAGGTGATGGCCAGCCTCCAACTTTTCTTTCTTGGGCTGCCATTGGATATTCTCCACCAAGAGGGTCCCCAGAGCAGAACCTGTGTGGCAGATGAGAGAAATGTGTCCCTTGGAGAGTTTGTGGAGAAGACTCATCCATCACACAGACCTAGGGACCGCCAGACTTCAAGAAAAGAAAAGAAAAGGTAGCATGCATTCAGCAGTGAAATCAAAGAGCAGCAGCCCCGGGCAAGGAGCTGCTTGTGACTCTCAGAAGATCTTTCCAAGAATGGCTTTCCACTGATCCCCACCTCTGATTCTACCATCAACACGGGGCCAGGTGACAGGGGTCTGGGAGAAGACTCAGCGCAGCTGGCATCAGAGGCCAAGAGGGGTTAGGTGGAAGACTGCCAGCCTAGAAGGAGAGAGAGAAGCTAGCACCTCCCCAGTATTTTGAGAGTGCACACACTGTTGGAAAAGAAAAACAATTTTTTTTACTTCTTTTTCTCTTTTTAAATTAAAGTATAATTAATTTACAATGACGTGTTAGCTTCAGATGTACAGAATAGAGATTCAGTTATATGATCATTCTTTTTCAGATCCTTTCCCCTTACAGGTGGTTATTATAAGATATTGAGTATGTTCCCTGAGCTGTACAGTAGGTGCTTATTATTTATCTATTTTATATATAATAGTGTGTATATGTTAATCTCAATCTCCTAACTTAAATAGAAAAACAACTTCAGGAGAACAAGACTCTGTTCTGAATTTCAGTGGTGGTTTTCTCACTTATCTCCGGTATTTAGTCTCTCTTTTTCTGGAAGTGTTACTTGACCTCTCACCACAATAAAACTGAACAATACAACAAGAACACCCTAGGGGCAGGATAGTGGTTATAATCTTCTGTTTTCCTTCCTAATCCTAAACCTATGTTTCATCAAAGCACAAGAGTTCAAGTATGTGTATGGCTGAGATGCTTTGCAGTGCACCTGAAACTATGACAACATTGTTAATTGGAGATACTCCAATATATAACAAAAAGTTTTGTTTTTTTCTTTTTAAAGCAGAAGAGATTGCCAATTTGGAGAGGGTGTGGTCCTAGAAGTTTATGGGTGGGTCTATGTCCTAATGGAAAAGGAACAATTACAGTGTGTGAGGAAAGTCAGAATGGTAGCGGTCTAGGCTTATTTCTTTTTTCTGTGATGACTCTAACGGGGGGCTTCCACAACCTCTTCGGTTGGTATAATGATCCTTGTGGGACTGAAAGTCCATCATGAGTAATGAACGTTTGGTCCTGGGAAGTTATGTGACAGACTTTAGAAACTTATCAAACTGGAAAAGTTGATATTTAGGGCATGGAGTGCTTGGCTACATATACCTAGATACCACGGTGTTGGTGTGTTTTTATTCCCTGTGACTAAGTGATCAGCAAAATAGAAGAGGGACCCCCACAAAACTTGGAGGAAGAAGGTGGAACTAAGGCTCTTTTGGCACAGGGGAGAAGATAAGTGTCTCAGATGATGTCACCTGGGTGTTGAGGAATCATGGGTTGAGGTTACACGGAGAAATCTGGGAGGCAACAGAGTGCTGAGTCTATGACTTCCTATTAGGTCAGAGTTCATGCAGAGTCAATAAGTACTGGGCACCCACCATGTGCTGTCATTTGTGACGCCCTCTAGTAGTTCCTACCTCCTGGAGATGAGAGGAAAGAAGGAAATGCCCATCTTTGGACAGGATACTGCAGATTTTGAGGATTAGGAAGGACCTTCATAATGCCCAGAAAAATGGAGAAGGGATAATTCATTCTAAAGTATGGAATTAATACAGTGGTTTTACAGATTTTACCAAGGACAAATTTATATTCTATCTTGAATATTTACCCATGGAATATACTCAGTGAAAGCTTAAATAATTAAACAATAGATGTTGTTTAGAAGTTACCATGTCCAGGTGCCAGAAGAGAACAACTTAACAGTAGCAGCGAAGAGTAGGAGCTAAATATTTTTGGAGGATAAGTTGTCTCTGGTTCTTTATTTCAAAAACTGCTTTATATTCATATAATATACTTTTTTTTTTTTTTTTTTTAAAGCAAGGACACTTTTAGACAAAGCAGGATTTGGTAATCACAGAGTCTTTGTCATTAGACAAAGCCAAATTCGAACCCTTCTTTCCTTGACTAACTGTGTGACCTTCGGGCTAAGGTGTTCCCCTCTATAAAACAGGAATAACAGTTAAGATTGCTGGGAGGATTAAATGAGACACTGCATGCAAAACTCTAAGCTCAGGACCTGATAAACAGTAAATATAAAATACTATTGTAGGGTAAGGGAGTTAGAGAAGGTGAGGTTCAGAAAAAGAACTAGATCGGCACTTTACAGGAACAGATCACCTTTAACGAGGCGAGAAGGGGCAGTCAGATTAGCGAGCTGCTGCACTAACCTAAGAAATGAGTAAGTATATATAGGCATGAATGTGGAAAGTTACTGTCTTAAGGGGGCCTGTTCTTCTCCAAGGTTGTTCGGAGTGGTTATCTCTTAAATGGCTGGGCAAAGAATTTTGGAGATCGGCCAAAGGCTGGACGGGCTGGGAGCTGGGCGTAATCTGCCTCATGTCCATTTTTCCTTGGTAAGAGAGTTCTTTGTTCTGCATAGAATAGTGGGGAGGACGTGGAGTGGAGTTTGAGGCTACCTCGAGCCTTGCAACTTTCCTTCAACTATAGTAATCAGGGAAACGATAAGTTCAACAATGAAATAAATGGTAGCATTAACAATGGTTATGTCTGGATTCCCCAAAGCACAATTCCATTTAACTTCGAGAATCGGAAGCCGAAATGAAGTCCAGCAGGTTCATCAGCTAAAATAAATTTCTCGGCTCAGATGACGCTAAAACTACATTTCCCAGCATGCGCTGGGTTCCACGGTCTTGTTTTCTCTCATTTCCGGGTGGATCAGGTGACTCCCCGGCTGCGCCATGGCGGAAGCAGAGGAGCAGGTAAGCGCTGCAGTTCCTAGGCAGGGGAAGGGGAGGCGAGGGTGGGCGATGGGGGCGTGAAGTGGGGTTGCTACGGAGGAGTGGGGTTGCTGCGGGGCCAGGCAGGCTCACGTGGGGCTGGGGTATGGCAAAAGTCCATTTCGGGGAGCCAAGAGGCAAGTGGGATGCAGTCTTTTGGACCGCAGGGGGAGACAGCGCCCCGACACACCCCCAGCATTTGTGGGGCGACCCTCCCTTTGGCTGTAGCCTTGTGGCCTGTGTCCTGAGAAATTTTGGCTTGAAGGCAGCTTGGGCTCTCTCAGGGACTGCCTGCTTCTGGTAGGCATCACACCTGATTTGAGTTTTGAGGTCAGGTGACTGAGATTTAAGTTCTTTCCAACTCGAAGTAGGACTGGAAGAGCTGATTTGCAGATGGGCTAGGAAGGCGAAGTAAATGCGATGAGGTTTGTTTCAGATCTATTTCATTTAGGTACCAAGCTAGGTCAGTGTTGCATCTGTTGAGTTTTATTTCGGGTCAGTTTCATTTTTATACAGATCTAAGTCACTGTTGTATCTGTTGAGTTTTATTTTGGATCAGTTTCATTTAGTTACAAATCTGTTTTATCTGGCAGTGGTTAAGTGCATCAGTCATGGAGCAAACAGGTTCTAGTGCTCGTTCTTTTTCTTAAAATGTGACTTTGGGCTAGTTGGTTGTAGAGATGGAGATAATTATAGTACAGTCCTCAAAAGGTGATTTAAGAAGGACTGGGTCTAACGCAAATTTAAAGTGCTTAGAAGAAGTTTGGCTTAGTAAAAGTTATGTGGGATTGTTGCTGATTATCTGCTGGCGGTGTTCAGTCGACACCCGGCAGTGTGACACCGGAGTTTAGGGAAAGATTAGTAATGGCAGTAGTTATCTTCATATAGGCAATCGTGGTAGCTAGACATTAGGTGAAATGACAAAGTAACATCGAGTACCCCTCATCCCCCACGTCCCCCACCCCCAAAGGCAGGTCGGAATTTGGGGGAATAACTTTAATTTCGTTTCCAGTGTTATTTTAGCTTGTCATTGTTTTTCCTTATGAATTAACAGGGCCGTCAGTTTCCATAATTTCTTGTAAGCAGTGACTTGATGCGCTGTCTAGTATCATATAGGAAGTTTATTTACTTAAAAAATTTACTTTGTACTATTTGCCACATTACATAATGAAAATTGTCCTGTGTATTTTTCACACATGCCAATAAATAATAAATTTGCCAAGGTACAAATTAAGTTTTTGGGTCTTCTTTATGTTAACAGATGAGGCTCCTCTGTACCCATGGAGCCCCTTTTTCCATTTCAAGCAGTTTAGCAGGATATGCTCATAAAGCGCATGTAATTGCGTGACTCACAGCTGGATTTGATGATTGTGAGATTGGTTTTCACACTATTCATCTCTCCTGTTAAAAAAAAAATTCTGTGGCTGCACTAGGTCTTAATTGTGGCAGTCGGGATCTTTAGTTGCTGCCTGTGAACTCTTAGTTTTGGTATGTGGAATCTAGTTCCCTGACCATGGCTCAAACCTGGGCTTCCTGCATTGGAAGCTCAGTCTTAGCCACTGGACCACCAGGGAAGTTCCTAAAATAAAAATTTTTGGTAGTTTGATATAAGAGCAAAAAGCCAAGCTCCTACATTCTTAGATACAGTGTCAAGAGAGGGGAGAGTTGTTCTTGGTGTTCACTACCTAGTATTTACTACGTAGTGTCTGCTACTGTTTTGTGTAGGAGTTTAGCCAAGCTGTTTGACTAAAAAGCACTTAGAAAGTTCGTGATATAGTAAGAATGCTTTGCATTTTTGTAGGACCTTCCAGTTTAAAGAACCATCTCATGTTTCATTTGGTCCTTACAGAAGAATTCTGTTGGTAAATTTTACTCTGATATGTAGGTCAGATCAGTCACCTCCTGTGTTCCGAATCTTCAGGTGGCTTCTTATGCACTCTGGAAAAAAAGAGCCCTTAAAATAGTCTAGTTGTCCTTGTCACAATTGCTCCCCATTCTTGTTCTCAGACCTCATTTTCCACTATTGTGTTCCCTTTCTGTCACTCTGCATCAGCCACCCTGGTTTTCTTACTCTGCCTTCAACAAACTAGGCATGTACCTGCCTCAGGACCTTTGCTCATGCTGCTCCCTTTTTTGAACCCCAGATATGAACAGGACTTTCTCTTACTTCCTTTTTGTTTCTGGTGTTTGTTCCAGGTGTTATCTTTCTGTGTGAGACTTTCCCTGACCATTCTTCAAAACCGCCTTCTGTGTAATTTTCTCTTTAGTGCTCATGGCCATCTGACATACTGTATTTTTAAATTTCCTTTCTCCCCTCCCCTGTATATTTCTATATTCATTTTTATGTATTCTTTCTATGGAATGTAAGCTCCATGATGGCAAGGGTTTGTTCATTGCTGGATGCCTGACACCTGGAAAAGTGCTTGGTTCTCAATATGTGTTAAATGATTGAATTTTACGGATAAGCATATTGAAGTTCATATGCCTTAAGTAATTTGCCCAGGCTTGTGTCTATAATAAATCTCCAATATTCTGTCTCCAATGCTCATGATTTTTTACTAGAACACTCTGCCTTTTAAAAAAATTACTTAAGGGGCTTCCCTGGCAGTTCGGTAGTTAAGACTCTGAGCTTCCAATGCATGGGGCTCAGGTTCGATCCTTGGTTGGAGAACTAAGAGCCCGCATGCTGCTTGGCCAAAAAAACAGAAAATAAAACTTACTCTAAATCAACCTCTCCTCTTAACTTTTCTGTGTGTTGTATTTTTGATGATGGCTCCTTTATCCCTCTTAATTTTAGGAAGAACCAAGGGAGTGAGATATATACTGAGTTAATATAACACAGTTCACAGACTCGTAAACTCAAGATATCTTTTTGGGGAATATCCTGGCGATCCAGTGGTTAGGAGTCTGTGCTTCCAGTGGGAGGCAGGGGTTCTATCTCTGGTTTGGGAACTAAGATTCTGCAAGCTGTGTCATGCAGCCAAAAAAAAAAAAAAAATATCAAAAAAAGATCACTTTTTGGATATGAATGAACTTTTTTAAAAAAGTCATTGGGAAATCCTTGTTTATTCTGAGAATGGTTAAAGTGGTTAGTAAAAATACATACATATTAGTTCACAGAAAGAGCTAATACCTTGCATTGTACCTGGAAATCCTCTAACCAGCCATTTTACCTCTCGCCAAAATGATTTATAGTTGACCTTCGTAATCACAGATGCCTGACACTATTTGTCCATACCGTGCTTATGAATGACATTCTGCCCGAAGTCTGGCTGTTTGGATGTTTGTGTATTTGTCTTAGCTCTACTGCAGGTTGCTGAGTCCTCAAGAATGAGCATAGAGTTTACTCATGTCTGTATCTCTCACAGAGCCAGTGCCTTACACAGGTACTAGGTACTTAATAAAATGTTTAAATGGATTTATTAGGGGGAGAATAGCCTTCTGAATTGAAAACATCAAATTTTTAGCTATGTTCAAAGAATTTGTGCTGTTGTTTTACCTGAAAGTTTTGAAAGCTTTTCATTCACATGGATTGTAGGTTACATTTCCTACCTTCCTTGCTCTGTCAACTCCCTGGGTACTCTCTTTTCTCCCAGCAGGGAACCTGGTCCATTAAAATACTTGGTCACTCAGATAATCTATTCTTTGACCAGATCGGAGAGCTTCTACATTGAGTTTCCCTCTGCCTTTTAGAAATTAGGGGCATTCTGTCTGTACTATAGAGCATTTTAGTATTATGAGATAGTACATTGGTGAGCAGGTATACACTCATCTGACTGTGCCCTGTGTAAAAGTAAAAATCGAGGTGACAGATAAAAGAGTGTCACAGGCTTCTTGCTTCAAGCCTGTAGCTTGGGGATTTTACTCCTCAGGATTCTTGTAAGTGTGAAATGAGATAAAGTATGTTACAGTACCAGATTGAAGCATTTGGCTTGTAAACAGGACAATGATTTACAACCCAAACTTGGATTGGCTAAGGTGCAGACAATCTTTATATAGTTTGGTCAAGACAGATCTTTTAAAAGCAGCTTTACTAATAAGAGGGCTTCTCTGGTGGCTCAGACTGTAAAGAATCTGCCTGCAATGCAAGAGGCCAGGGTTTTATCCCTGAGTTGGGAAGATCCCTTGGAGAAGGGAATGGCTACCCACTCTAGTATTCTTGCCTGGAAAGCCCCATAGACAGAGGAGCCTGGCAGACTACAGTCCATGGGGTTACAAAGAGTTGGACACACCTGAACAACTAACAGTTTTCACTTTGTAATAAATAACTAAAGGAAAAGCAAAGCCCTGAACAAGAAGCTGCAGAAGCACAGGATCAGAGAAACCTTGAGGAACCCCAGTCTTTACCATTATGTAACAAGTACAGTCATGAATTAGCTCAGCCAGTGAGCTTGGTACCTTGTGAATTTCTCCTCCCATCTTCCTCTGGCCTGGTTGGCTGGAGGCTGATGACGTCAGTTGATCATTAGTAGCCTCTCTGGCTCCCCGGTTACCACCCTGCGGAGAGACCCCTCATCAGATCCGGGCGGGCTTCTGTGTTTCATGCAGCTCCCTGCTCATGGCTACTCAGTCACAGTTGCCTTTGCTTCTTCTAGAAACTTGATCTTCCTCAGTGGGTTTTTTTGTTTGTTTGCTTTATCAAATCCTTGTGAATCTGGACTCTGATTTATACATACTGGAATCTGTGAAGATGGAGTGGATACTAAATGAAGTCCGTCAGAAAGAGACAAATACCATATGATACCACTTATATATGAAATCTGAAACATGACACAAGTGAGCTTATCTATGAAATAGAAACAGACTCAAAGACATAGAGGACAGATTTGTGGTTGCGACGGGGGAAGAGGTAGGGGAGGGCAGATTGGGAGTTTGAGATTAACAGATGCAAACTATTATGTAGAGAATGGATAAGCAACAAGATCCTACTGTATATCACAGGGACCTAAACTCAGTATCCATAATGGAAAAGAAAAATCTTT